TGTGGGGGGGGGTGTTCGCTGGAGACTGCCGGGCCCTGAGCGTGCGCTCCTGCTTCCCTGTGCTGTTTGAAGCGGAGCGGAGGCGGCGCTCCGTCATCCTGGGGATGGCCCTGGGCGGAGGTGAGAGCTGGCCACACAGCCCCTTGAAAGGGGCGATGGAGCTGCTGCGTGGGAGGGGCTGTGTCTGTGCACTGGGCTGGGCTCCACAGGGGCAGGAGCATGCGCCTGAGTTGGGGCCCTGCTCCATCACTGACTGGCGGTGCTGCATCCTGCCTTGGGCTCCCAGGCACCCCGGGCCAGCTCCGCTCTCGGGGGGCCCTTTCCCTTGATGCTGCCCATTTGGGTCAGGGCAGAGCTGGGGACTGGGGGTTCCTGCCGTGTGGACAGGTCTCTAGCCTGCTCTCTGCTCCTAGGGAAGGGCCCTGCCCTGGACTCGGCACTGAGCCGCAGGGCCCAGCATGAGCGCTGGAGCCAGTGGTCGCTGCGAGGGGGCATGGAGACGCTGCCCGAGGCCCTGCAGGACTTCCTGAGCCGGCGTGGGGTGGAGATTCTCTGCCACGCCCGCCTGCGGTGCCTGGAGAGAACAGCACCTGAGCGCTGGCAGGTGGGGGTGGCAGCAGGGTGCATACGACTTCCTGGACCCCAAGGGCACTGCTGGACTTCAAAGGGTTAAACTGAAACTGAGCCTCAGCTTCTTGCCGCACTTGTCTTGTCAGACATCACCTGGGCCTCGTTCGGTGTGAACGAGAGCGGCAGGAGGATGGGAGCCAGGACTCCTGGGTTCCTGGCCAGGCTCTCGGAGGCGAGTGGGTTCTCCCAGGTGGTCTGGGAGCCCGGATTCCTGGGTTCCATCCATCCTTGGGAAGCCCCCTCTCTGCTCGGTGGGGCAGTGCTGTGGGCTGGGGGTCTCTGCTCTGACTGCGCCTTTCCCGTCTAGATCACCCTGGAGGACGGCAGCCTGAGCGCAGACCACGTGATCAGTGCCATCCCGGCCAGAGGTAGGGGTGCAGCCGGTGCTGAGGGCAGCCCATCTGCAGTCGCTTGCTCCCAGGTGGCTGTGGAGCCATCCAAGTGCTCAGGAATGGAGGGGTTGGGACTGTCTCTTGTTCAGCTGAGACCTTGTGTAGGGCCTGGGTGCTGCCTTCCCCTCTGTGCAGGAGTGTGGGCTAGTGGTGAGAGCAGGGGTCTGGGGGGCCTGTGTGTTCTCCCTGGCCATGGTCTCGAGCAGGCGTTCCAGCTCCGAGCGGTGGGGGGAGGGCTGTGGAGGCCCCGGCTGTTGGGTGCTGAGGCATCTCTCTCTTTCCAGCTCTGGCGGCGCTGCTCCCCAGCTGGGCTGAGCCGCTCGCCCAGGAGCTGCGCAGCATTGAGGCCGTGTCGGTGGGTGTGGTGAACCTGCAGTACGAGGGTGCCACGCTGCCCATCATGGTGAGACGGGTGCTCCTGCCTGCTGCCGTAACCCACTGCAGCCCCCCAGCCCTGGCTCAGCATCACCCCCTCCCCCGGGCACCCAGCATTACTTGTGCGAGAGCAGGAAGGGGGAATGGCCAGTCCTGCCCTCGTGTCATGGGGCCCTACCCCACCCTGAGTCAGCGGTGGCTGAGGGGGGAGGGGCTGCCAATCTCCCTTGGGGCAGGGGGGTTACAGTGTCGTCCTGTCTCTGTCCTAGGGATTCGGGCATCTGGTGCCCTCGTTTGAAGATAGCTCCCTGCTGGGCATTGTCTATGACTCGGTTGCCTTCCCGGAGCAGAATGGCACCGGTGGCCCTTCCATCCGGCTCACGGTGAGCATGTCCCCCGGCCCCCACCAGGGAGGCTGCTGGTGGCAGAGGGGGCTGGGTATGGACAGGCACAGGTCCAGCCATGGGCCCTGGGATCCTGGCCATAGGGTGCACAGGTGCTGACTTTCTGATTCCCCAGGGGAGCCTGACACCAACTCACCCATGCCCCACCCCCACCTCTCCCCACCCCAGTGCCTGCTGCTGAGGATGGGGGAGGGGAACCGATTAGCAAGGCCTGCTAGTGGGTGCTCCAGCCCCATGGCACCCATGTTGGTGCCTATGACAAGGGGTCTGGTTCCACTGCAGCATAGAGCAGAAAGTGGGGGAGTTGCTGAACTGTGGGATCAGGCCCAGGACCCCCAGGAATCCTGCTGATTCCTCCCATGTGCTGAGGGACGGCCTGGCCATGCACCAGCTCAGCCGTGTCCTCAGTGTGGGGCAGGGGATTCCATCTACATGGCTCTGGACTGGGCCCTCTGTGGCCCTATTGAGGGCAGGTAGGGGGAGAGCCTGGCTTCCTGGAGCCAACATCCCCACTCGTCGGGGCAGGGCAAACGTCTTGTTGGCCCCCAGCCAAGATCCTGCTCCTTTCCTGAGCGGTTGGTTTGCTCCTGCAGGTGATGCTGGGCGGTGCGTGGTTTGCACAGGCCTTTGGGGACCCGGACACGGTGCCTCAGGCCATGCTGCTGAGCCGTGCCAAGGAGGCGGTGAGGGTGCACCTGGGCATAGTGACGGAGCCCTCTCGCACAATCGTCAAGGTGCTCAAGGTAGGTGGGGTGGGGGTGGGCAGCACTGGGAACCAGCGGAGCCAAACCAGCTCTCACCATTCTCTGGTCCTTCCACAGGCCGCCATCCCGCAGTACACACTCGGCCACTGGCGGAGGACAGGTAAGGGGGCGCAGCCACTGTCTGAGCCCTGAGCTGGGCCGTGGGATTTGTTGACACAGCTGGGGAGCAGCAGCCTATATGCTGTGGGGAAAGGGGGTTGAGGTCCCTCTAGCCTTATTCCCTCTATTCCTCCTTGGCAGAGACCATCAACCATTACCTGGAGCAAGAGGGGCTGCCACTGAGCCTAATCGGGGCTTCCTACCAGGGCGTCTCTGTGAACGACTGTATCTACAGCGCCAAGACAGCTGTCACCCGCCTCCTCGGCCAGGCCCACTGATCTGCCCCAGGCACCTTCTGCTTGAACTAACTCTCGGGTTACCATATTTGAACTTTCAAGAAAGGACACTTGGTGTTGCGGTGGCTGCTCCACTTGCAGAGGAGGCTGGACTTGGGCACCAGCAAACTTATCACTGCACACGCCAAGCTCTGGGATCTGGCTGCTGCCTTGTTGCTGCCTCTCGTGGTGCAAGGAGGACTCCAGACTCCCACTTTTCTGACGAACCACCCCAAGACATGCAGCAGTGCAGGCTCTAGCTGCTGGGCCAGGAGGAGAGGGGCAGGGAGGCTGCTAGCTAGGGCCTGTCCTAGGGCATGAAGTTTAAGGCATTGAGGGGAGAAGTGGCCTGGCCGGAAAAGTAACCCAGGAATCCTTCTTCCCAGAATCCCTTTCTCCTGCCTGCCTAATTAGCCTCAGAGCTGAGACTAGAACACCCTCCCCCTCCCCCTCCCCCTGGTCTCCCCACACAGCCCCCCTGCTCATCTGCAGAAAAGGAAAGGAACCAGAAGTTTTAATGGCTCGTTCCCTACTCTAACCCAGTGCCAGGTACCCTCAGCCACCCCGCTCTAATCTAATGCACTTCTCCTGCAGAACGGGGGCCCTAATCTAGGAGGGTCGAGGGTAACACTGCACCTCTGTGGACAGAACCAACCTGCCAACTCCCCTCTTCGTCCTCCCCCCCCCCCCCCCCCCTCCCACCCGTCCTTCCTACCCTCGTGGAGG